ATACGACTTTGAAATCATCCCTCTTGCCATATGTGGTTTAACTGTTTTGTTCATTGGTTTATAGGTGGTCGAATTGGTGCTGTCCGCTACTCAATCATCTTTACCATTGTTGGGACAACTGTGGATTATGCTACAATTAGACTAAGACCTGTGTTAAAGAGCTACAAGGAATCTATGCTTGGGAGTAATGACGGTTCACAGAAGAATGAGGGTTGGCTGAAAATGCCTGACTGGTCTCCTATCAAAGTACTTGATGAGGAAGCCCTTGCTGCAAAACAGACTCGTGAACAAAAGGTGCATGCACAGAGGGTAGCACTTGGTAACCTAAGCAAAGAAGAGTCCTAAAATTTTGTGGCATGTATCTTGAACTTTCATATATCTCAATAATAAGGTTTCGGGGCATGCTTCCTTGAGGTTTAGTTGCCTTTGTGTTTGCCATCGTATCTCCCGCTTTAGGGATGAATTTTCAATTTCTACTTGTATGTAGAAGATAGAAATAGGAAAGGAGATTATTGACTTTTGGAATCAAACATTCACATTTCTTGGCCAAGTGTTTGCACTCTCTACCATGGATGCCGTCTATTCGTTACCCTAAAGTCTGATAGCAGTACTGTTTTTGCAACTCTTGGCTTCCTAGGAGAACAAGTTACAATGAACAGATTCACCACCATTGTGGCGTTCCGGTCCAATAATGAATTGCCATACGAAGGAAAACTTACACATTGTAAAAATATTTTAAAAAACGCACCTAGGCGGCTTTGGTGGCGGGGTGACCATGAAAACGCCTCTGCCTAGCAGGATTAGAATTAAACTCGCCTAGATGGCTAGATGTGCTTGAGGCGTTCGACTAGGGCTCCTGTTTTTGAAGTTGCTGAAATCTAAATTTTCTCCTGTTTTTGAAGTTGCTGAAATCTAAATTTTTTTTAGTTGAAATCTAAAATTTTTTTAGTTGCAAAGCCAGCTGCACTTCGAAGAAGATGAAAAAGACGACGCCGTTGCGAGTGGTGTTTTTTTTTTGTTGACTTCACATTTTGTTTATACTTGTTTTTCTTTTTAAACTAACCCACTTTTGCTGATATTTGTTAATCGACCATATTCCTTTACGTTAGACTTTTTATTTTTAATATTATTTTATATATCTCAAAAACTGAAAATAAGGCATTTCTATAAAAGCATCTTATAAATCCTTTTCTTAAAAAATGTGATTGGCTTGTTTTTACTATTTTTTTTTGTAATGTTATTATTCTTTACTTGAACAAAACATCATATTATTCTTGTTTTTCTCTTTTAAGACTGTGGGTCTTGTGAGGCATCCTAAGGCTTGAAGGCTTTCGCCTAGGGCACGCTATTCATGAAACACCTCGTCTACACCTTTACCTTTTAAAACATTGCATTGTAATGCATTTTGGACTAGAATGATGAACCTCTTTGATGCAAGTTCTCTTGTCCAAGGCAATGTTTCTGCTCCTTTGTTTTCTCATCAAATAAAGGAAACTTTTGGCAAATACAGAACTTCAGTGAGATTTACTTTTGCAGGTTTGCGTCTGGCCCCTCCCTACCACTAATGATCACTCGGCTCACCATTTTCTTGTGTTTAATCAGACCCCGAAACGGAACACCCAAATACCACACCACATTACAAATTGCAACATTTTGGGTCTCCCGCTGAGGGGCCTCTCGGCCAAAAGCGAGAGAAACACTATCCCTCTGTTTCTTTTTTTGCACCCCATGACCACAGGAAAGGGGACGCGGGGAGGTAAGAAACGGGATCCTACCAAATTGTTCCAAACCTACGATAATAAGCTCATGAACTTAGTCTTACTTCACTGTGAAGAAACAAAAGAAGACTTACATCTCCAAGTTTAACACAGATGTAGCTCGCTATAGCTTGGCATGAATGTATCCCTAGATTGAAGCAATTTTGTTGATGTTATATAAAGCAAAATGATATAAAGTGAATGGCTGATGCTGCAATCGGCATTCATTAATGGAAAAAAAAAAAAAAAAAAAAAACAATTTTATCCAGGGATAAATAGTATTGTTGCTACCAATCATGTACAGAAAATGTCATTGCAAAACAGCCCATATCATTGCTAATCGTTTTACATCTCTTAACTAGCAGGGGTCTAAAAGCTCATATTGCAGCTCGAAACTCACAACAATTGTACAAATTTTGGCAACCGGAAACTCACTTGCCTGATAAACTACATTGTAAACAATCAGCATCAAGGAAGGTCCATCTCATGTCTTATAATTTTATGAAAGCAGAGAGACGAGAGAAACAAACTCCAGTGTTACCCGGCCCTTGGACCTTGTGTTGATGACAAAGTGTTCGGGGTATTTTCTTAGCAGCATAAGCAAGCCGTACCATGGTTTCCCTTTTGACTCTGGACCAGGCCATTCCTCAGAAGTGAGATACCTTCTCACTCGAGTGTGATGCCAGATGCTGCTATACTGCTCCACCAACTGAACAAAAATGATACGGAGTAAGGCAGAGAAAACCAAGTTTCCAACATCTCAGAACTACAATAAATAAAACTGGAATACGCTACACATGTGCATAATCATGCAAAGCGAAACTAAATTATGCTGAACACGAATAACTAGGGATGTGTTTCTATGTTGCCGATGATTACAGATAACTGTAGCATCCATCACAGATGAGACTAAGGGCTGGTTTGGTATTGCTGTGCTTTGAAAAAAAGCTGCTGTGAGAATAAGCGGCTGTGAAATAAATCAGCAGAGTGTTTGGTAAACTTTTTTGTAAAAGTGCTTTTGGAAAAAAAAGCAGTCTGATAGTGGATCTTTTCATTAAAGGAGCACTGTAGTTCTATGTGCTTTGAAAAAAAGCCAGTTTTCCAAAGCTACAAATTGCAGCTTCAGCTTTTTCCTTTGATTTCAGCTTATTCTCACAGCAGCTTCCAAAATAAGCCCTTTTTTTTAAGTTTACCAAACACCAAAAACACTCCCAGCTTTTTTTCATATGAGCTTTTTTTAAAATCACCTCAACCCCAAACTGGGGCTAAATAGTGGAATAGCCAATGCTCTAAGAGCTTTTAAGTTGGAGCATATGCCTTTGAACCCACATTTTTGTTTTTGATCTGAGCACAATAACAAAAATCAAGCAAAAATGCAGTTGAAGATTGGACAATAACTAAGGATAGCGTCGAAGGTTATTACCAAATAATTTGCTCATTAGAATATGTCAATACTAACCTCATTATGAAGTTTCTCCATAGGCATCCATTCTCCTGGACCGCAAAGATCGGAGAGCACAGTAGCAACAGATGACACAACATCCTTTTCCTCCAAATGCAGAAGTTGCTGATTGTCAGTGTCTCGATCAACCCTGGACCTTCCATCTCCTTTCTTCTCTGCAGAAATCGAAGATAAAATTATGGCATAGATAGAACATAACAATAGTTTCAGTTTATAATTTAAAATGTATTTGCATGGAGTTTCCTAATTAAACATCTTAAAAGGAATAAGAGAACAATTGTCAACGCATTCCAAAATTAGGGAGGAAAGAAATATCATTTCCTGGTGAAGTACCAAAAGCGCAACCTAGAAAGACAACGCTAACACTGATATAAAAAAAGCTGCCAAAGAATGTACAGGTCACAGATGGAGATCGAGCTGAAGAAATGTCCTTGAATCTATGGCTTGGCTTGATTCCTCTGAAGAAATGGAATACACCAGTTCTTGATCATCAGAGAAATAAGTTGGCTGATTATCTAACATAAACCACATCCAACCACAACTACACAATCCATTCCCACGAAAACCGAAAATAATTAAGACAAAAACTACTCTGATAAGGAACCGATGAAACCAGTAGTGCCACAAAAGTTCAGATAATCTCAATAATACAGGATAGTATTCAGGATTAGTGCAGTTCCCAAAGAAAATCAATTTGAATGCTTCAAAACAATCTCCTAAAGCTGTAAAACAAACAGAACAAATGCACCTCGTAATCCTTTTCTACAGAAAGGCGGATAGATCCATAGAAATTCAAGCTGAAATTCGAACTCAACACTGAACCTAAATATGTGATTCGAAACACTTGACAATGCCAATGATTCATATAATTCAAAAAACACAAAATTTTCATATTCCAATTGCCATATCAACATCAATGTCCATCAATTTAATGATTTCTAGGTAAGAGAGAGAAGCTAGAACAGGGGAAAAAACTAACCCAAAGCTCCAGCCTTGCCTGAACCAGAACCCGACCCGCCACCATACCCAAAACCCTCATACCCTTCTCGCCTCATCTTCTTCCCACTCCCACTGCCCCCACCAACATCCTCCTCGTCATCATACTCCTCCTCATACAACTCCCTCCCCCTCCCCTTCTTCCCAATCGGGCCAGCACCCGAACCCGAATGGTACCCGTAATGAGCCGGGCCCACGGGGCTCGGCACCACTGGCACCGAGGCGGGGTAATGCCTGGGACCCACAGGACCACCGAGAATGCTCCTCACCGGCAACAAAAAGTAAAACTCCTTATCTCCGATCTGAAGAAGATCCTGCGAGTCCAGCTTGACCGGGGGGTTCCCGGGTAGGTGGAGCACACCCTCCACGAGGCAGCCGTTCTTGCCGAGGACCTCGAGCGCGAATCGACGCCGCGTGAAGTCGTAGAAAATTCGCGCATGGTGGCGCGAAATGTTCATGCCGCCGCCGAGGCTGGAGAGGTCAACGTCCACCGTCGATTTCTTGGAGTTCCGGCCCAGGATTATGGAGTAGGTCTGCATGTAGTACTCGAAGTCTTCGCCTTGAAGCTTCGCGAACCCCGCCTCCACATCAGTGCTGCCCGCCGCCATTGAAATTTTTAAAGATTGCGGATCGGAGAAGAAACTGATATAATTCCCCCAAATCCCAAACGGGTTCGGTCTATGACTCAATTGGAATGGGGTTTATGGGGCAAACTGTGGAATTTTATTAAGTTCAGGGGCCAAAATAGAAATAGAAATAAAAACAAAGTATTCCCTATTCACTTCTTTCACCCCAAATGTCAATTTTTCGTCATCCTCATAATTTGCCCCTTTGGAATCCTTTTAGGGTTTACCCTCTCAATTTTCTCTGCTCCCCGCCTGCCCTAAACGAACACCTTGGTCTCTGTCGCTCTTCTGCTTCGTCTCTGTCACAAAAATCACTGTAATTCTTTCTACCCATCTCGAATTAATTCAATTTTTTGCTAAAAATCCTTGCTTTCTTTCAATTTTCTGTCAATTTTGATGCGAAATTTCTTTCTTTCACATATTTGTCAGCTTTTTCTGTTCAATTACTTTGTAATCCGAAGTGAGAATTTGTACTTTTTTTTTGGGGGGGGGGGGGGGGAACTAAAGGGATCATTTATCAGATTTTGGTGCAGTAGATGCTTTTAGCTTTTTGTTTGGGATCTCATATGATCCATGGCTTGACACAAATGTTTGATTTAGGGTTCGCTCTTGATTGTTGATAGAATTTCTAGTAAGTCTGCAAGGGCTTTGAGATACAGGTTATAACCATTTACATGGACTGGAACAGTGAAAAGGATTACTATGATCTATCCCTTCTGATGGCTCAAAGTTTACATTTTTACTGCCCATATGCAAACATAAATGGAAACTTTAACGAAAATTCATTTTAACGAAAAATTATATTTTTACACTAAAAATCAATTCTGGTACTTATTTTGTCTTTATTGTTAAAACTCAAAGTTTTCAAGCCATTTTTGTTAGTTTTCTTACAAAAATTTATGTGCTTTCGTCACCCATCTCGTTCTGGCTTGACTGTTGAACATGGGAAAGATTGAACTGTTTCAGACTTTCAATTAAATTTGTGCTTCAGTGGGAGTGAGGAAGTTATCGAACGATTCTCGTTCTGCCTTGAACTTTTTGCATTTTCTACCTAATAGGTCATGGGATCGACCACTAGTTGTAGTGGATAAATCTCCTGTGTGGTGATGGGGGAGGGGAGGGCTAAAGTAAATACGTAGGATTTAAAGGAATTATCGTGGTTTATTTTCTTAAGTCACTATTGTTTGATTTGTTGCTTTCATGTAACATCATTTTTTCTTTTCCTTCTTTTGAGGCAGCCTGTAGCAAAAGTCAAATAGAAATGGCTTACGTTATATTTTTCTTATGCTCTGAATTTTCATTTACGGTTAAAGTAGCTACAATTTCTCTTCAATTGATTGCTCAAGTAAAGCATATGGCTTCACCGTTAATACATTACACTTACGAATCAACTCGCAGATGTGCATTGCCTTGTGTGCTTGGTCATGAATTTGTTGTTGCTTTCATGCATGAATTTGAAAGACATTGTAATATCTCAAGTAAGCACATCACAGGGCTTGGCTTTGTTTCTTTTCACTTATGTTATTTGTAACTTGCAGAGGAGTAGGAACTATTTAATATAAATCAATGAAGCATATTGTGAAAATTCTGACATTGTTAGTGGCCATCTCTGCCTTGTGGATTGGTCTCCTACAGACGTCTATTATCCCACGTAGTCATACTTGGTTGGTGAGTTATTTTATCTGTTTATTTCAGTCGGTTTACATTACTGTTTATACTTTTCATGTTATATTATGCTTACCATACTCTGTTTTATCCTCTTCCCAGCTACCAATATATTTCATTGTGTCTCTAGGATGCTATGGCCTGCTAATGGTTGGAGTTGGTCTCATGCAATTTCCGACTTGTCCTCAAGAGGCAGTACTGTTGCAGCAGGTAGATTACATTTTCTATTTATTTTCTGCTCAGTTTACTTCGCTAAATGATACTTTGGTTAATCGCTCTCTCTCTCTCTGTGCTATTTATTAGACACATCTCTCACCTTTTACATTTATATATGTTTGTCTTTATAAAAAAAAAAAAAAACTTTGAACTAAAACATGTTATAAACTCTTATTTCTAACCGATGTTATATCCATTAGGACATAGCTGAGGCCAAGGATTTTTTAAAGCAGAAAGGGGTTGATGTGGCTGGCTGTGATTGATTCTGCACGCAGAGTACTCCCTCTTCTGTGTTTGGATATAAAGAAAAGACCAAATTTAGTATAGAATCCATTGAACTCCCCTCGTTCTTGCAGTGATATGGTGGATGACTTCATGACACCTTATTGTTTCTGACTTGTGGAAAATTGGAGTTTTTAACTTGCCAGGTTTTACTCAAGGTTCTAAAAGACGCTAGACGCTAGTCGGGCGGCAGGCTGGGAACTAGTGCCTAGGCGCCTATGCGGGGTCTAGGCAGGTGGCTAGGCGGACTAGGTGGATTTAAGTAAATCCATTATATTTCGTGTAAATAAGTGTGTTTATACTTAAAATATATATAATTTCATCACAAACTACAAAATAGAATAACATATGTATTATGAAGTATTGGAACATAATGAAAACATGTGGAACAAACATATAGTGTGTGCTCATTTAAGTATTCAACAAGTCTTTTACAATTTATTGAAAAAATTAAATGCAAATTGAAAGTTATCTATTTTCTGTCTAAGTGAGTCGCAACCTAGGCAGGTGCCTAGGTGGGTCTGAACGGATTAGGTGGGTGCCTTGGCGATTTAGGCGGGGATTTTTAGAACAATGGTTTTCTAGGTTGAAGCAATGAACAACGCCTTAGGAGTTTCTAACTTATAGCTTCAAAGAAAAGGCCATTGATTGTGGGAAGTAGAAAGAACTTTTGGAAAGTGTACATCTCACCGTTGATGGATTCCTGTCTGTCTGTGTCTCGGATGAAATGTTTATTTTTGTTCTTTCGGTACAAATATGGAAGTGTTTTGTCGAGTGGGACAATGTTTGGAAGTTGACTTCTATTTTCTTTTCCTTTTCCTCCTCATGTTTATATTTGATCAGCGGAAAGTAAACTCAGCAAGTCCAATTTTTTTTTTGGATATTTCAAACTACTCAATATTTATGGAACTTTAACGAAAAGTTCTTGGTAGTTCATTTTAACAAAAATTCATATTTTTACACTAAAAAGTAAATCATAGTATTATTCATTTTACCTTTTATTTTGTTCTTATCATTAACTCAAAGTTTTCAAGTCATTTCATTAGTTTCTTTTTACGGAAAATCAACAGTTAAATACTAAATTGAGAAAATACTATTTTTACTTGTCAATTTAATGGATATAAAGCCGGACTACATAGCGAGGGAGCTAGAATTTCAACGGATTTCTAGTAAAAGCATTTCTAACAGATTCTGTGACTTTGGTACTAGTGATTTACAAGAAGAATAAAGGTCAAAGTAGTTTTTCTTTATTCTTTTGCTATCCATTCATCACCAAATTCATCACATTGTATGAAGAATAAAGTTCAAAGTTGTTCTTCTTTGTCCTTTTTCTTTTCCATTTAACCTTTTAGATGTCTACTAAACATTAGTCTAGTAGTACAATAAAATTCAGTTTGAATTTCTAATGAAATCATTTCTAACAAAACATCACTTAAGCAAATTAACCCTTATTAAAGAACAATGTTTGGCTACTTAATAATGAGTAAGACCTTCTATTCAAAACTCTTCATGTTTGAATTATAGAAGTTTGTGTTTATGACCAGAACCGTTCATATTAGGGGTGGGCAAACGGGTCCTGGACCCGCGGGTCGGGGCGGGTCTTTGCGGTTCGGGGCGGGTACGGGGCGGGTCTAAGAATTACAAATACAAAACGGGGCGGGGCGGGCCGGTTCCAGATAAATAACGGGGCGGGCCGGTTCTAAAGATTGGAGAAAACGGGCCCCCGGCCCGGACCGTTGGTCTACTGTGATTACGGTCTCTTTTATTATTAGAATTCGACCCTCACTGTCACTCACCCTTTTATTATCAGGATTTAGACCTAATTCGATCTCTCCGCTCGATCTCTCTGCCTCCCTCGATCTCTCCGCTCTCCCGATCTCTCTCGATCTCCTCTCTCTCGATCTCTTCCCTCTCGATCTCCTTCTTCTCGATCTCTCTCTCTCACAGTCTTTCTTTCTCTCTCTCTCTCTCCCATCTCACCTACCCTAAACCTTCACAAGCCGCCGTAAACCAGGCATATACCCAGCTCACCCGCCGTAAACCATCTGCGCCAGCCACAAGCCGCCATCCACAAAGCATCACCAGCTGCGACTTTGTCTCTGATCTGTTTAAATTTTCAGGTAACTATTTAAATTTTCAGGGTTCCAAACGCCGTTGTCTCTGATCTGTGTGTGAGTGGGTTGATGTTTTCTCTATTGTTTTCGGCAAAGATGATCTGGTTTCTCTATTTTTAGTATAATAAAGAGTTCTAGCTCCAATCTATGGTTATTGATATGTTTCTCTTAAAGCTTCCTCATTTTATTTTCCTTCTCGGATTCTCGATCGTTAAAAAGTTCACTGCTTTTTGGCGTTTTTGGAGCTCCGGTAGTCTGATAGATGACTCTCTGGTTTCCATTTCCGACTTCGTTTTGTAGTCGTCTTCTTTCCTGTTAATTTTAATTTTTTATATTTGGAGCTGAGTAGTGGTTTCGGATGAGTTATCGGATTAAAATTTTTCCGTAAGTGGTTTTAGAGCGATGGCGGGTTTTGCGGGTTTGTCGCATGCGTTTGTTGTTGGTTTGGAAGTTTTAGCTATTGATGGTGAGGTTTAGAAATTTCCAAACTTGTTGGACCTACTTTCTATTTTCTTCTCATACTTTTCTGCTCTTGGTTTTGTGATTTGTTTAAAAAAAAAATAGAAAGATATTTGGCCCCAGCAGGTTTTGTATGACTTTTGACTCTGTTTGGCTGCTCAGAAAATATGTTTGTGTAACTTTGAATGCTGAGAAAATGTTGGTAATCAAGCGTTAACTGTGTGTATGGGTTGAGTATAAACGTTAGTAGAAAATATTTATAAACTGAACAAGAATGCAAATTTATGTAAGATGTTCATTATAGCTAGTCTAGAAGCTATTATATATTAAAATAAGCTGCTTATGATGTTTCGCTTGATGAAAATTCTGCAGGATCATATTGTACCGGTTGTCTCCTCGATTTTCTTACGCAGGCTGCTTCTTCCTGGGGTTCATCATAATATTGCTTTGCGCTCAACCTTGCTGGATTATAACAGGCACTGGAGTGATTCAGATTTCCATTCTCTAACCGCCGATATGTTGAAGAAGGAAATTCTTTCCCTGATTGAACATGAGGTTTGCGTTGGAGTTTTTATTGTTTCTCTCTCACACACACTCATATGACACCGTGGAGGGGATAGGAATGACCTGGGGTTGCTAGCTAACAGATAACCAATGTATGTTGTCTATTGTTTTAGGGTGTTAGTGATAATTCAACGTCAATATTGTGCTGTTGGAAAAAATTCTGTTCTCCCTACTTCCAAAATTGGTGCAAGAGCAATGCACTACGTGGCTTGCTTTTGGATTCCTACAGGGGTAGTTTTGGATTGATCAGAAAGAACTCAGTATCTCTTTTTCGTTGTTCGGAGAATATTGAGCGGCTTATTAATGGTATCTCAGGTATTGTTGCTTTAGCTGAACCTTTCCATTTTTTTGTTTTAGGACCAATTATTTCTTATTTTTAATGCTTGTCCCTTTTATTTTGGAATTCTCACATTCATATTTGATAGGTACTTCTGATGATCTCATCCATCTTGTTACCATGGAGGCGGGTTTAATTCTTCAATTAGAGGTGCTCGTTAAAATGCTTAGATGTGTTGTTAATGTCAGCCAACAATTGGGAAAAACAGCTTCTGCTATATTTTATGAATCATTAGTTAGTGCACCACTCGTTATCTCAGCTGAGGAAATTACTCATCTTTTGAAGAATTTAGAATCTGGATATGGTTCAACGGTAGCAATGCTTCATGTATCAGAGCATGGACCTGATGTTGCTTTGGAGAGAAACCTGGCTGATAAAAAAAAATTGAGGAAAATTTCTATTGGCATGCTGTTATCTCTTCATGCCTTGCACATGAATCGTACTGTTATTTCTTTCTAATGCAGTGTCACTGTGATTGTGCAGTTGCAAATTGCAATCTGTGCAGTTTGCAAACTGTGCAGTTTTCAAACTGTGCAGTGCAGTTAAAAAAAAAAAAAAAAAAAAAAAGGGTACCCGTGTACCCGGCCCGAACCGGCCCGTTTTAACCGGGCCGGGTAATGTCCGGTTCCTATACAAGAAAATCCAATCCCCGCCCCGTCCCGGCCCGTTTCGGGTAATGTCAGGTTCCTACAAACTTAGGTTCGGCCCGGCCCGTGCCCAGCCCTAGTTCATATTAAATCACTCTGCAAAAAATGAATTAAAACTAAAGTTTTTTAGTCAATCTCTTTTAGCAAATACATAGATGGTCCATAATGATTATTACCAATTTTGTTCATCTGTTTTTATACAGTTCGATGATTAAACAATCTTAATTTTAATTAATTTTTTACAAAAATTGTCTTTATAGAATTATTTATAATATGAATGATTATAATCATAAACACAAAATTCTATACATTAACAACGAACAGTTTTGAATTAAAATATAAGTCCTCGTCAAAATAATGTATCACATGATAATTATTGTGTAATTTGACATCTTCACATGATCAGATGGGCCCAGGGTGGTGACCTCACAGAAGAAACCCATCACTCCACTTTGACCGTAACTTCCTATGAAATATTACTTTTTTATAACGTCAAAATCATTTTAAAATTACATAAAGAAAAAGCGACCCAAATAAATGTTTGATTAGTAATAATTAAAATTCATAAACTTTTCTTGCAAGTTAGAATGCATAGCCTCAGTATGAAACAAACGTCCCTTCTTTAATACCAAATAGTTACAAAATGTTTATATGGTATAAATAACTAATATTAATACAATGTAGATGCACGTTTAAAAAAAGGAACGCTTGCATTGAGAATTTTTGTTAGTACATGATTACTAATTCTTTGTGTTACGTAGTATTGATATTATTGATAATATATCAATAACACATTCGTATAGTTCGTTTGTTACAATGCTAATATTGACATATAAGTTATCATATATTCGTATATTTTGTTTGTTTCATAACTGAATCAGAGTATATCAGTAATAAAAAAAATAAATGATCCAAAAATTAATAATAATAATAAAAGAAGAGACTTGATGATGTTCACATGAATATTCCAATTCCAAAAATTGGTCCACTCCATTTTTCACTCCCTTTACTATTTTCCTACTCACAATCACACATTCAACTCTCCTTCTCCTCGCTCAGAGTCTCATACTCAGACAAACCATTTTCTTTTGGCCCAATTTCCAGCTCACAATATTAACCCCAAACTCCCGGCCCCCCCCCCCCACCCCCCCCCCTCTTCCCCCCTTTTAACTCGTCGGTCTCGTCCTTCTCCTTCTCTCTCTCTTTTCCTTTTCCTTCACAATCATGGCAGCAAACAATGCAGACCCATGTATTAAAATGCCACTTTAGCTCGCCGTAGATCCAAATTTTGAAGCTTTTCAATCGAATAAAGATAACCCATTTGATTAAATCGTCCAACTTTGTCGACCCTCCGTTGAAATGGGTGGTCTGAGGGAGTCGTGGTGCTTCTGCAAAGGAGTCAGCAAGTCTGAGAAGATGAAGGCCGCCATTTTCTCCGGCAAGGCTCCGGCCATGGCCATAATTTCCGGCGCCGCAAATGGGATCTCCGGTACGGGATTCCTGATCCACCGTAGTCTACTATTGACCACCCACGTCAACCTTCCGTCTGTGGCGGCTGCCGAGAGCTCCGAGATCCGGCTGCAAAACGGTGTCGCTGCAAGTCTCGTTCCCCAAAGGTGACTCAATACTAGCTTTGGTTAAATTTTTTTATTTCTTAATAAAGTTTTGATTTTCTTTGGTTATGTGGATAATTAATTGAAAGTAAATACTGGGGTTGGTGTTTACTATTGGTTTGTTGTTGGAATAGTGGAAAACATGAGACCTGTCCACATCCCCGTTTTTACTTCTCACGTACTCCTCTCAATTTCCGGCCATCAGATTGGATGATTTGTGGAATATCAATGGGCAAAAATTAGTAAGGGTTTGTGGGAAGGAAAAAGTGGCTGGTGAATAGGACTGGCCTTTAGTTTTTTGCTGTGGGTCCCAAACGATAGAAATTGAAATTTTTGAACAGTTTGATTGTATGATGTTTCGACCCATTTTGTTGCTATCAATGGAGAATTGATTAGTTTTGTATTGAATATTTGGTTGTGTTGTGACATTTGTGTTTTCATTGGTGAGATTTGAATTGGTCAAAAGTTGTAATGTGAAAAGAGTTATGGGTGCTGCTAAGAAGTTGGATTGTTTTGTATGCAACTTCTGGTGATTATGTTGTTGGATCTGATTGGGTCATACTCATTCATTGTCTACAAGTAAACTACTGGTTAGGACTCAGGAGAAAAAGAGTATCAGCTGGTAACCATTTTTTCTCTGACAAGAAATATTCTAATTTACGAGAGAGGGATTCAAACTTGAGTGCAACACGGTGGGTACGCTGCCCTAACCAACTGCCCAAATCCCACGTCTGCGGTACCTGGTAACCATTCAGATTAGTTAAATGTGGAAGTCTTTAATGTAGGGGATGGAGACTGGGGAGTTCAGGGGTAGTACCGATAATGCAGTAGTTACATGAACTAAAACTGGAGGTAATGTGGATGGATGGCATGATAGAGCTAAAAAGGCAAGAATTTTAGGCAATAAGAGATTCCAGTGACTGAAAAATGGAAGAAACTGCTTTTTCATTTACTTTGGAGATGGAAATTCCTCCAGAACTGATCTGGCAAGTCCTCCTTGAGTCATGAAAATTTTGTTGTTTTTCTTTTGAGTTGGGTTCCTAAGGCTTAATTGTGCTACACGTTTATATTTAGGTAGCTATCTTGTGGGTTGCCTCCTATGGGAAATGATTACGAAATGGAAAGGTAATTGAAAATTGGAGTACTTAGCATTATGACCGTGATGATTCGGTTTTTTTTATTTTTTATTTTTTATATTGTAGTTGATGTAGTTATTGAATACAAATCCGTTGGATCTAATAGAAGTTCCGTTCTCTAGTTTAGACTGATGGGGAAAGGACGATTTGGTGACATTGTTCTCATAAAGCACCAACGCATCATGTTGCCTTTACATTATCAGGCTTTTGAAGTAGCTTTTCTCACTCTTTCATTGGATTGCAGATTTTTCATCACCAGCTCCATTTTAGATCTCACAATAGTAGGTCTGGATGTGGTGGATGGAGATTCAAATGCCCAAGGCCACCTCCACCACTTGAAGACCTGCTCTAAACCAAGCCTGGATCTCGGCAGTGTAGTTTACCTTCTAGGCTACACGGAGAAGAAGGATTTGACAGTTGGTGAAGGTAAGGTAGTGATTGCCACAGACAATCTCATAAAATTGTCAACTGATGGAGTAACATTGAGCCCTGGTTCAGCTGGATTTGACGCACAAGGGAATCTTGCATTTATGATATGTGATCCGATGAAACTAGCAACATCTCCAAACACCAAATCCTCATCAACTTCCTCATCATCCTCCTCATCATGGAAGAAGGATCACCCGATGCAATTTGGTATTCCCATTCCAATCATTTGTGATTGGTTAAATCAGCATTGGGAGGGCAGTCTCGATGATCTTAACAAGCCTAAGCTACCACTCATTCGGTTAATGTCTTCTGCCCAGAAAAGTGAGCACTCTTGTGCTTCCTTCACACAGCGGCAAGTTTTTAAGTCAACTGAAGGTGATAATGATGGAACACCTTCGTCATCAAATACAATCTCAAAACCTAGGGACCAGCATGGACCAAGCTGCTCTGCTGCCGCAAACACTGTTGAAGAAGAGGCCCTAACAGGTGATCCTCATGCTGCACATTTACAAGGTATTCCTACTCCAGAAATTTATGAATCACCGAAGTTAACAGCTATCCCTCTTCGGAGAAGAGAAGGTTCCCCAGTTCAGCTTTTGGACATTAATTTTCCTCCAAGGGTTGCAAAACCAGCAGTTCTACCACAGTCAACCAAAAAGTTACTCCCGAATTCTGGTGAGAATTTTGTCAGGGAGCCTCCTGAGCAGATCCCAGTAAGAGAAGGAAACAGAATTGAGTTTAGAGGACCAGCCAGTCCTGATGCAAATGCTGAAATTGCCTCGACGGGTTCTTTTAATGGGGCCCAAAGTGAGGTTGAGTCGAGTTCATTACCCGTAGGTGCTTCAGATATGCAGAATGGGTATAGTAGTGAGGGAGAGACTATGTACTCTGCTGAAACTGCTGAGAGTCGAAATTATACTACTCCTGCAGATGGAAAGTTTCAACAAGTGGGAAGGAGCCAGAGTTGTGTGAACTATAATAGATGGGGAACCACCCAAAGTAACCCAGTGCAGCGCAGGGCGTTGCTAGAAAAGCAGAGGAGCTTTATCCATGGAAGGAAGATGCATTCGCAAGCAGCAACTTCTCAAAGGAGCAATGACTACTACAGCCCAACTGTCTCCTCAATCATGAAGAAGCGGAACTCAGAGCAGCCTGTCAGACCCCGGCAAATTGCTGTTCATTCCTCCCCAAAATGGAACTTCTGAGTTGATTCATATCAAATGTGACACCGGAAAATGATTAGCATGAAGAACGTATAGTGTTTTGAGTTAAAACGCCCGTTTAATTTCCACTATGGTATAGTGTAACAAATTTGTTGTGAATGTGCAGAGAGACAGATATCAGGTGAATAAGAAAATTCAGCAAAGTTGTAATTTTGCTCCTAGTGAGTCTTGTGTTACTGGTTCCATATCATCTATAAAGTTATTCTTTGAGGGTAATAAACTCCCAGTGGCAGGTGGATAGATGTTTAGTTCCGGGAAATTTTACTAGGTTAAACTGTCTCCATGTTTAATCCATCGTGAATTTAATGGCACGTTTCGCTGATAACTGCCTGGTTAGAGAATGGACAGGGCGGCAGCGTTCGAGCTGCATATAACAAAAGGATAATTATCGAACTTGGTCGAGTTCTGCCATTTTCGGCCATGGGATTGACGTTGAGACTCGGATCACATACTCGGTAAGGGAATTAACAAAGATGATCATTACTGCGAATGAGCCTGGACCATGGCATGCATAACTCTGAAAACGTTAACGATTTTATTCAGTACATTGGCTTTGATCAGAAATTAGGACTCCCAAAGCTATAAGAAATATTACTAAAGAACAGCTGGGGGAAAAATTCAACCAATTTATTTAGAAAACTAAATGCCGATGATAATTGTTGCCGCGCTAGGACAATGCTCCAAGGAAAAACTACAAAAAAATCTCTTGTTGAGACCGCATCGTATCAATAGGATTCCAGTGCAGGCTTCGCTATGCTCATCTGAGGAAGCGGCAGAGAGCTGGATACAGTTGAGGAGAACCAGCCAAGCTTCTCTACGAGTTTGTCAATCAGGTCACCTGCTAAATAAGAAACACCTCCCACCGCAATCGCGATGGTAATATAGTAGAGTAAAGTTTTGATGTACTTTGGTGGCCTCTGGATGCAAGCCTTTCCAATTGCGAGAACTATGATGCATAGAAAAGAAGCTACTGCAACTGCTGCAACCTTTAGGTCCCTGTTGTTGCTCTGGCGGAATGAGAAGCCATAAACCACAGGAGGTATTAACCCGAAAACGATGAATGATAATACAGCAACAGAGGCATGAAGAGGGAAATTCTCTCTTTTCCCTAGTACTTTTTGGTATCTCTCCACTTGCTCATCTGTCTGACCGGAGGGGACTTTTGAATGATCATCTTTCAGTTCCCACAGCTGTAATATTTGTTGCGGATCAGAAAACATCAAGAAACAAAATACAGTGCAAATGGGGGGAAGAGTGAGTGAATTTTTAAACTGAAGCTCCGAGTCTTTTACTCACATTATGACCAATGATGAAAAGTCCGCCAAGTAAGTTTGCCAATGCCAAAGCTAGAATGTTCACTGCAAAAAGAAGATAGTTACAAACCTAAACATGATGATGATCAAGGGGCGCAAGTGAAAAAAATTAAATCTGTTAGTTTCAACTACAGGAATGAAAATGTACTAAGATATAAAAACTAGATCCAATTAGCTCGTATAAAAAGAATCTCAGGCAGTTCAAAATTAAATCAACTAAATTAAAAGCAACGTACGTGTTGCAGTATCAGCACTGGCTGCAGATGTCACGATGCCTAAGCTTGTAATTGCTTCAGTTAAACCGCCGTATACAATGCTTTTGATGATTTCTAACGTTTTGGTATCACCTGTTTCCCCTGTTTCAGGTATCGTTGGTGGTTCTGGACTAATAACGACTATCCTACTCTCAGGAAGCTCAGATGTAGTTGGCCCTGCATCAACACATGTAAATTTCCATTAGAAGGTTTTGCATTGCTATAGCACTCGATACTTCCACTTTCTAAAAGTGATTTCATGTTAATAATTTCTCATGTATGACACTGTCTTGTACAGACCTGCATCATTTCCTTGAATTTGTGCGGGGTCTCGCGGAATGGCTACAACATCTATTTCAGATGGTGGGGGCTTGGTGGTCACAAGTACACCAACTCCAATTGGCAGAACAGGAACTGAAGGTTTTTTATTATGTACTGTTCCATTCCACTCTTCTGAAGTAACTGATTCGTCAACTTCGACACTGCTCTCAAAATTATTTTTGGAGGGTTTAGTTGTTGCAGCAATTCCAACACTAGCTTCAACAGACTCACCAGTTACTGGAGGTTTATCCATCGAGGCAGCATCACTAACTCCAGTTGGCTGAGCAGGCATCGTGGGACTTTTATCATATTGCGTTTCATTCAAGCTGTATGATGGAACTGGAACTTCGACTCCAACACTGCTCTGAATATTATCTTTTGAGGGTTCAACTATTGCAGGTACAGTAGCTCCAACAGGATCTTTAGCCGCTGGACCTTTACTTACTGGTGCAGTTTGTATATTTTGATCTTGTGGTGTTCCAGCCGAGTCATGTGATGGAATTGGAACCAACTCTCCAACTTCAACATTGTTTCCAGTATTGGTTTCTGCATCAACAAATCAAGTAAGAGGTTAGGCTACTTCATAATGAGAAACTTGAAATCCACTGATTCATATTTTAATGACAGCTCAAAAGGTTTATCGTGTAAAACTGTCAGAGAAAAAAGCCTCTCTTTTTTGTGTATGCGAATTATGCCCAAATTTATCAAAACACCAGTAGAAGTTTACCTTGTTCTGTATGATCGTCCTCATCTTTAGGTACCAATTTAGGAAAGAACCAGCTGCCTGTTATATTGAAAGAATGGTTAAACTATCAGCCAAGGATTCAAAACAGAAAATGTCACACCACAAAATGCCTACTTGGCAAACAAAAACATCACAAGAGGAAAGATTCAGGTTCTGGAATTTTTATAGCAATACCATGATCTAGATATATTACAATTTTTATATTCCTTCACATCAAAAGATATTCTTCTTTCATTTACTGGCAATAGTTAGGCAATTGAATTCCTTGTCCTAAATTCTGTCAAATCTGTTCTAGCATCAAATGCAATGAACAGAAAAGTTGTTAATAGAGTAAGGATGCAAAAGGACCTGCAGGAATGAGGAAACTGAAGCACGAAGTGCATCGAATTGGATCAACTGGCGGAGGAGGTGGTGCAGCTGGAGGTAGTGTATTTTCTGGCTCTCTACCACGAATGATAACCTTTGTGATGCAAGAATTGCAATTAGGACAATAGAAATCATGCGCGGCCGGCTTCTGATATACCCTTTCTAGAAACAATTCAGACGCTTCTTGTTCACTGATTTCTCTTAGCTTAACTCTCCTATTTTCATTCGTCCCACCGTTGATAGAAGCAAAACCATTCAACTCTTCACCCTTCTGCTCAACTGACTTCTTGGAGGATAAAGTACCAAAACCATTGAACTCTTCTTCAATCTTTATATCACCACCATCTTCGCGATTAGTAACACCAACAGCACTCTTATCAAAGGTTAGCTTGACATCCGGTATTTCATCTCCAGGGTTTTTCCTGAAAGAAAAATCGACATGTCTGCCGTTGAAACCAGAGATCTCATATGGGGATTCAGTACCTGAAACAATGCAGAGAATTGAAACATCTCATCAGATAACCATTGAGCTTGGCCAAACACAATCATGCAGATATACATACCCTATTTGGCATGAATTTCCATGTCCACCAACAGTTAGATTAAAGTCCCAGTTGAAAATTACTCTTGGTAAATTGATTAGTCAATTAACCTGAACCCATCTGATTCTTCCTAGCTAATTAAACATTAAAAAAGGGGTGTAAAACAAACAAAACAACAAGTAATTACTACTCAAACTGCAATAAAAAAAACCAGAACTTTAATCATGATACATAATTAAATGTAGTTCTTGATACACAAACTATTGAACTAACAAAAAACCTGATCTGGGTTCAATTCAAAAGCTGATAAAAATCAAACAAAGATCTGAAATCACAAAACCCAATAGCAAAAAGAAAAAACTTTAATACCAAGAAGTGTTCTTTCTTTCTTTACCTCCATTTTTAAGAGAGATGGAAGCTCCATTTCTTGGGGTTTCCTTAACTTCCTCAGCCTCGTCAGCTTCAGTAGAAGCTAATGAACTCTCAGAGGAAGAAAAGATAAAGTCACCGTTGGAGACAGTGGTGGTGAGATTTGCTGTGTTGCTGTGCTGGCGCGGCAGCTTTCTTCTCAGAGCCATGCCTGCAGCTGCTGCTTCCTCTGTCTCCTCCTCCCACTTGTTCATTGCCTCCATTTTTTCAACCAATTGCCTTGCTCTGAAGGAAGCTCTGAGGCTGAGTGTGATCAGTATTCTATATTATCACCGGAAAAGTGTGAAGTTATGACATTGTAGGTTAGGAATGCTGTAATGTGCTAGAATTCAGAGATTTTGATTTGGGTTGCTAGATGAAGTCAGTATGTAGTTGGGTGATATGCTAATTAATTAATAAAAAAAGTTTGAGTCTTTATTTGGCAATGACTTGATTACATCCAAGTCAAGTGATTGGAATAAAAAAATTGTCACGTTTTCAAGTTTGAATTAAGGATTGTATTTTCTAGATGAAAGGGATGCCAATTTTTTAGGGGTTTTAAGGAAACATTAATCGTACTGTTCACTTTTAACGGCAAAGATATTTTAATTCTAAAAAATCACTATTGTACTATTCATTTATAACATTTTTTTGTTATTTTAGTTAAAATTCAAAGTTTTCAAACATTTTTCGTTAGTTCTTCTAATTTTTTAATATGCTCAGAACATGAATCAATACGTCATATGTTATTATATAAGTGAAATAAAGGTTTGCTTTTTTCTAGTGTTATCCCACTTGCATAATAATATATGACATGTATCCCTTATTTTGGTCACACTGAAAAATCTTTTACATTTTTACTCATCACTCTAATTATTATCATTAGATGAGTTAAACCATGAAAAAATAAGTAGAGTTCATTTCACTCAAACGAGTAGTTAGCAGCGTGAAACTCGCTAAATAATTGTGTTTTACGTGTTATTGGCGATTTTATCTGTATACAGACAGACATAAACATAATTGAGAGAAGTCAATTGTTATTAAAAAATGCCGAAATATTGGATCATGGGAAAGCGTGATTTAGATGGCATCTGGCAGATGAAATCTATTTTACATGGAATAAGGATCCGGAGATTCGCATATCTTGTTCGTTCATCGTACATCGTAAGGTCAGAAATTATTTTAAATTTTATTATTTAAAATTAATCACAA